CAAAACCATTATACCCTGATTTCCCATTTTCAATGGGTTCAGGGTATAAAAATATCGCATTAACACTTTTGTTTATTTCGTTTCGTAAAGTTGAAAAATCGTTGTGCACCTGAACTTTTTTTGCAGACTATATATATATATGTATATATATATAAACACTAATTTTCGCGTCATAAAGCCCCCGGGCGTAGTAAATGTGAACTAGCGCCCACTCCTTGGTGAAATAGTGCCCAAGGTCATTTAAAGAATATTTATAAAATTTCTTGAAGTTCTTCATCCGTTATACTAGCCAGTGCTATTGATGGCGATATAACAGCTCTTAGCACAAAGCGCAAGAAGCAAAAAACAAATTAAGATTCTGAGTAATAGAAACTTGACACAATTTACGTTTGCCTTGACAAACCGAGAGATGCTTGTACTTCTGCAACTTTAAAAGATATGTTTTGAATGCCATACAAATTTACAAAATCGAACGGTTAACTCTTTATTATCGCATTAAAGTTATTCAATAAAATAATCAAACAAGTAAGAAGGCTCTAGTCGAGACTTCTCGACTAGGAGATGCCGAAATCATTCTACATTTCTTTTATGCCCACATACATACATACACACGCGATCTGCTAACTGCTCAGTAAGCAGCGACTTCGCTTGGGCTGCGCTTCAGTGTGGGCAATAATATGAGAATAATTTCTTCTGTAGAAATATAATCCTAATCAAACTTTCAGAGCATAATCATATGGAGCGTAGTCACAAGCCTCCAATACGTGAAATACATTTTTTACAAATTGGGGTCGAAGAGGGCGTGGTATCCAAATGTATGTATGTATGTATATACACACTAGATATGAAGTCTCCAATGAGCCTCAAATAACAAAATCAATGATGAGCTATCGAACAATATGAAAAACTCGTACTGCGTATCGTATGTATGCATACCAAAATTTCAGCTCTCTAGCTCTTATATCTTCTGAGATCTCGGCGTTCATACGGACGGACAGACATACATATACATATATACTTTATGGGGTCTACCACGCCGACTTCTGCCTGTTACGTACTTTTTCACAAAAACATGATACCCTGATTTCCCATTTTCAATGGGTTCAGGGTATAAAAAGCTATTTGTTTTATTGGAGCGAACGAAAAAATTATGACACTGGGCGTTTTTAAATGCACCCTATTTATATATCTCAAGAATTTCATACGTATATTGTAATGTATATTTTGCATATCTGTGTATTTGTATATCTGTAAGCCAACAAAAATGTATAGGAAAATAAAAAACCTTTTAAGGAAAATATAACTTAATGTGAAATAATTGTTTATTGAGTTAAAAGTAAGACTACAAAAGCATTTGGATTGTAGACAACGTGAATTGATAATTTATGAGAAATAATAACCGATTATCAAATGACTTAACTTTAGAAACAAATATAAATAGATATGAATGTCCCACACATATGTGTGTGTGTCGATTAAAACGTAGTTTTTTTTTTTTTTTTAGCCAGACTCTAAAATATTTGTTCACCAAATGAAAATATTGGTATTGTGCACTGTCCATGCATACATCCGTAGGTCCGTTCGTCTATTTGTTTGCATAAGCTCAGAGAATTTATAAAGTGCCATAGAAAAGGAAATACATTATCCTAGTTTATTGATCGACTTGCAACTTCAAACTCAAAATGTAACGGCAAACTTATGATTAATTTACGGGAAAAGCTTTCTTTGATAGTGGAGGAAGAAGTCGAAATTAACTTAATAAATATATGTCTAAGTGTATATATATGAAAATAAGGAAATCGGAACATTACTGAGGAATACTCTTGGCATAAGGCGACACTTGATTTGTCTTTTCCACACACTTAAGGTAAATTATAATATATACATATATAAGATAGTAATTGGTATTGGATAGTATGGACATGTGAGTTCAGTTCTTGATTTGTCTGTGTGTGTGAGTGTGTTTGGTGTCTTCAACGTGGAAGAGTACTATACACAACGGAAGAGATGCCAACTCACTCGTTGCAGGGTCGACCAACATTCTTCAAGGGTTCGTTCACTGATTGCGGCTGCGCTGCTTGACCTCGAAAGCTGAAGCTGTAAAGAAATCATGGATGACAAACATTTAATTCACTTATGAATACCTCATATGTGTATAGTAGCTAATCATCGTTATTCATAATAATCCACAACAACCAAAAATATGACAAATATAAATAAACTAATTGTTATGAGAGAGAGAAAAGAGAGAAAGATAGGCTTACTATGGCCTGCTTCACTTTTTAATATCAACGTCTTTCTTGATATTAATAAGAGAAGCAGACAGATAGACCAAGCAAAAATGAAAAATCGAGAAAGAGGTAAAGAGGTAGAGAGAGAGAGAGAGAGAGAGAGAGAGCAAGAAAAAGGGAGAGACAGAGACAAAGAGGCACTACACTTAGTCTTTTTATCTTAAGGCGGGAGGGTGAGAGAGAAAGAACCCAAGAGAATGAGAAAGAGGGAGAGAAATAGAGAAAGAGGAACGGAGGAATAGAAAGAGCGTCATTTTTGTTATACTAGAGTTACAGTTTCGTTATCGTGAATTCTAATTTTTTTAATGGAACTTAAATTATTTATCAGCCGCTCTACAAGACTCTTGAAAAGCATTTTGAAATTCGCCAAGGGTCTTCCTGTTGCCGATTAGGTCTCATGCTTATTGACGAAGACCAGTCTAAAATATTTCCTCCTATATCAATGTGAAGCAGACCTGCACCGGGAAATTCGTAAAATTAGCTTAAGGTTACCGAACTAAAATGCATCGGCTGCGCTGCATAGCTATGTTTTTTGTGAAAATGTTTGTAGCACGCAGAAGGATCCGTGGCAGACCCATATTTCAGTTTACCTAGCATTTGTTGTAAAATGGAAAATCCACTATAATGTGTAGAATATGTGTCCATACACATACATACATGGAAATGCGTGAATTCTAGCATATTCTAGGAATCACAAATGCATTCGAATTGTGTTTGAGCTTTGGTTTCTCATTCGGTAGGGGGCTTAAATCCCTAAGTATATCGTAACGCGCGCGGCACGGCTAAAGTTTCCTTCTCGTGATGTATGTATTATACAGATATCTACATATTAAATACACTAATCTAATCTATTATTTATACCAACTTCTCAACATAATATACCTAACTACATAGGTATATGTATCTATTTTCTAAGGGAACAAAGTATAGCAAGCGACAGAAAAAAATCATAATGTGAAACTATAAATGAACCAAAATTGATAATTCGTTGGCTTAATTAAAATTTTCACAATTTCTTAAAATTGGAAAACAAAATTACATCGTGCTCCTTTTCACAGTCAAGAGTCATTTTTATGTTTGGTTTTTTTTGGCAAATGGATTTCAATTTAATGTTGAAAATCAGAGAAAATAATATGTACATATGTTACATATATATATATTTATGTATATATGTTTATATATATATATATATATATATATATATATATATA